TTTTTCTCAAAATAATGCAGAATACAAATGACTTAAAACGCAAGAGAAGGTCGAAAAATTGGAAAATTGACCCTCCCTGAAGGCTCTAATGTCATCATTTGGTCTCAAAGGGGTCATAAGAATGATTTACCAGCATTTAACGCAACCTTAAAAAATCGAACATTTCCAAAGGCTTATAGTCTTGCGACTTTTTCTCAAAATTATGGCGAAGTTAAGTAATTTAAAACGCTGCAGGACGTCGAAAAATTGAGAAATAGACGCACCCCGAAGTCTCTAAATTCGTCAATTTGTTTCAAAAGGGTCCGAAAAATGATTTTTCAGGATTTGACGCAACCTCGAAAAATCGAAAATTTTCAAAGGCTCTTGGTTTCTCTGGTTTTTTTATCAAACTCGTGCCGAATGCAAATGATTTAAAACGCGCAAAAACGACGATAAAGTGAAAGTTGGAAGCTTTACGAAGGCTATAAAGTCGTCATTTTTTCTTAAAAGGGTTCAAAAAATGCTTTATGAACATTCAACACAACCTTGAAAAATAGAAAGTTTCCAGAAGCATTTTATCTCAAAATATATTCGAATAATAATGACTTAAAACGCAACAGAAGGTCAAAAAATAGGAGAATTGATGCTCCCCGAAGGCTATAAAGACGTCATTTTGTCTCGAAAGGATCCTAAAATGATTTATCAGCATTTGAAGCAACCTTTAAAAGCAACCCCGAAAAATTGAAAGTTTTAAAGGCTCACTATTCTTGCTCTAAATGGTGGTGAAATCTAATAATTGAAAACGCGACGTAACATGGGAAAATAGAGAAACAGAACTTTCCGAAGGATATTCCCATTTTGTCTCAAAATAGCCCTAAAATTGAATTATCAGCATTCCTCGCATCCTTGAAAAATTGAGTTTTCAAAGAATATAGAATTGAGATTTGTTTTCTCAAGCTGCGTGTGCCAAGGCTTGAACACGAAAATCCATTACCTAATATTGAAGAATGGGCTGCATAATGTACACATGAACGTTTATACCATCTATCAAGCCGTGACAGTATACCGAGTCGTCAAGGTAGTCACCCCCAAACGAAAGGTCGCTAGTTTAAATCCCGGTGCCAGTATTGTTGTAGAAACAAGGCTATGTGGTAAGGGGCGCTGATACGCCGAAGTTTATTATTTATTTTAATACTTGACATGTGACAACGTCCCCGATGGCAGAACTCGAGGCTCTGCGCAGTGCACTGGAACTCATCAATTCTGAAGAAAGACCAGGTAAATGAGCCGTGTTTTCTGACTAAAAACCAGCGTTACAACGCCTGCTATCAGTTCTCCGACGCGGATGCCCCTACCAGTTGACCTACCGAACCGTGAAACTTCACCACCTTTTAATACAAAAAGACCACGACATCATCTTTCAGTGGTTACCTGGGCATTGTGGTATAGGCGGCAATGATTCTGCAGATCATGCTGCTCGCACGTCACATAAACAAGCGAACAGTGTTCCGATTCCACTTTCAAGAGCGGATGCGGCGAGGCAGATTCGTCAACTGGCCCGCAGTCTCACACCGACTGAGGGGAACACACCAAGCATACGACGTTCAAGACCGCACGAGCTTGACCCTTCACTACAACTCCGGCCTCCACCTGGCCTACATCGACGTGAAGCTTCGCTTCTCTATCGCCTTTGGCTGGGAGTTGCTTTCCCGAAAGCTTATACCACGTTATTCGGAATTACTGACAGTGCGGCGTGCGATGTTTGCGGCACCGACGAAAATATCGAACACCTGCTGTGCCATTGTCCTCGATTTGCCTCAGACAGACAAGTACTTGCCAACGCAATGCGGTGACTGGATGATCGGCCTCTTTCTGTGCAGGTGCTATTACAGCAACGTCCACATGCCTCGACAGCCCACAAGGAAGTGAAAGCCCCGCTGTGTTTCCTGAGAAAGAGAGGCTTGTGCGAACGTCTCTGACATGCGGTGCAGTTCTACACGCTGCTCTGAAATTCCTGTCAGTCGCTCTCCCTTTTTTCTTTGGCCTCTCTTCCCTCTTTCTCATCTTTCTCTTCCCCTACCCTGATCCCCCAGTGTAGGGTAGCCAACCCTATGTCTTTCTGGTTAACCTCCCTGCATTCTCCGTTTTGTTGCTTCCTCCTTCTTAATACTTGACCTGCAGTATAGTGAGCAGACCAAGTTCTAAATATTTCGTCCTGTCTCGTGGCGGTAGCCCATCTCGAATGATGTTCAGTTTATAACCAAAATGCTGACGGTAGAGCGCTCGTACCAACCTGGAGGTATCGGACGAGGGGTGTACCACTTGAGGATTGAGCCAAGTACGGGTAGAACTTCCATATGCCTTTGAATCCGGTGGCCTCCGGCCGGCCGGCATCGGGACGGATTCAAACCTGGCACCTCACACGTGGGAAGCAGACGCTCAATACCATTATGAGCGCCTGCCTTTGTGGTGGGTATTTCAGTGACAAATAATCTGTGTGCAGTTCATCAATGCGACCAAGCTCCAGAAAATATAATTTTAAAAGCTCTAGGAATACTTTTGGGAAATCAGCACGCCGGCGGGATTGGAAACACTTCCCTTCTGGTTGTGAAACCAACACATTGTTAGCACGCAGTGGCTGTAGCCGAGTGGCAATGTTTAAAGGTTGGTCGGTACATTGTGCAGCTGCGTTTTTCTTTTTTTTTATTAATTCCCTGCCTTAGTGAAGTCATTCTTTTCTTGGGTCCGTAAAGAAAGAGGTCTGATACATAAAAATTGTTTCTGATGAGATTTACTGTAAATGGTTATCTCGAAGTTTCGTAACTTTAAATATTCAGAAACATTTTCTGTATTTGAAGAAATCAGCCTTTTTTTTGCTTTTTCCAACAGAAAGGCTTTCGGAAATCTTGTGATTCTGGAATTCTGTTCTGTTCTGTGTTAACTCGCGAGGCTTGGTCGCATCTGAATGAAATAGACTCCTACAATTTTCTTATGAGAACGATAAGCTATAGCCTATGTTAAGCACGTAATTTTCGATGTCAGATGCTGTGGTCGTACTTTAATTATATGAATTCCGAGTGCATGTTATCCTTTCGAAAGCTCGTAATTTCCGATGTCAAAAGGTGTGGTTGGATATTATTCATACTGACTCCTTGGGTTTTTCCGATCATTAGGTGTATATAAAGCCCTCTGAAAAGTCGTGATCTTAAATTTTTGAAGATGTTGTTGTATTTGAATAAAATTGACATTGAGGGCTTTTCCAATCAGAAAGTTACGCCTTCGAAAATAAGAAATGACGAATTTAGCAAAGGCTATATACACTTATGTCTGATCGGAAGAGCCCATGGAGTCGATTTCTTTGAAATAAGACAATACTTTCGGAAATCGAAAATTCCGAGTTTCACAAAGGCTATAGACTTTCCTTTTTGATTAGAAAAGCTGTAGAACTATTTCATTCAAATACCTTGGGGAATAAAAAAATTCTCGATTTCATTCCTATAAAACCATACCTTCTAAAATCAAAATTACGAATTCTGTCTTTTGTTCAGTCAACATGGCTTGCCATATTGGCTAAAAAAGTGAGCGACACCTTAAAAATTGAAAAACTCAATCTTTCTTAAGGGTACAATAAGCTTGTCATGTTGACTGAAAAGCGAACAATTAAAAATGCACCGAGGACTTGAAAACTTAAAAGAAGACTGAACCTTTGATAAGGCTATATTCTTGCCATTTCGTCTGAACACGGAAATCATTCGAAATGCTGAGGCAATCTTGAAAATAAAACTGACGGTTCCTTACTATAGGCTTGTAATTTTGCCTGAGAAAGTGAATGATTCGAAACCTGGTAGCTACCTTAAAATTCGAAAAATTCAAGCTTTACAAAGGCCATTTTGGCTGAAGAAGGGGAATATTCGAAATGCGACGCAATCTATAAAATTGAAAAAAAAAACTAAAGCCATCGTGGCTGCTGAAAAAGTGGGTTATTCAAAATGCGACACCACGTTGAAAAGTTGAAATTTCAAACTTTACAGATGCCACAGGCCAACAACATTGGCTCAAGATGGTCCCAACTTTATGCTCATTAAAGGGTCACCATACTTTAAAAAAATTGGAACATAAAAGAATAGGAACCCTGTCATTTAGTACGTTATTAGAGTTTAACTGGGAAATGAACTTGTGGCACGAACAAAAGTACAAACAATACACAAAATTTACACGGGATGACATTCAACAATATTCTATGCAAGCAAATTTTTTCTTACGTAATGCAAGGATCAGATCAAGGATATCAAGGTATTAACTTCTGTCTTTGTTTGTGCTGGTCATATCTTAATCACAGTATCTGTAACATCATTGATAATTGTGATTTAACGATATCGCTTAGCAGGCGTTTATGTGGCCTAATAAAAAAAAGCGAACTACCAAAGTTTATTTGCGCATATGACTGCACAATGTATATGATCGGGTATGCTATCACAGGGTTTCGCCGGCCCTTACCATGAGTTCTAATTGCGGGTCCAGCCGAAGATAAACTTCAAAGGTCTACTGGTGACAAAACGTATACAGGTGACTTATTGGTGCCAAAACCAATGTAACTTGCACCAATATTTTCACAATTTAGGCAAAGTGGCTGATCTTTGTCCTCGATTAAATACCCCATTTTCATTGCATGCTCGCACCACTGCTTCTACGGTTCTAAGTTTTTTTTTTGAAATTTCTCTTTTGTGTGACAATGATGCATCCTCACTCAGGCGTTCCGCTTTCATGTGCACTTTTAAGAACGAATGAATGAATTATTTGAATATTTTGGCCCAAGGTTCAGACCTTCAAATAGTTTCAGGCTTCGAATGGTGCCGATGTTACTGTTAGGTACGTAACTCTGCAACCTGTACATCTCGTAGTTCGAAGTACAGTTGCGTCTCGCTACTTACAGCATTTCACGCTGTGCGCACGCTCATTTCCATTTAGAATGAAACACGCCCAAACAACCTCGAAAGCGTGCAAATGAAAAGAACAGCCGATAACAATAAATGCGTGTTTATTTACTCACCATCACAGAATGACAACTGCACAGATGGCAGTGGCACTACATCACAGACTGAGACGAGCCTGCCGGGATACGTGATAACTCGCCAACCGATCGAGGCGCACCCTCTAAAGGCTCGTTCACACCGAAGGCGGAGCGGCCAAAGCGGCGAGGCGGCAACGCGGGAAGCGGAAAAAACCTCCTCTCCAGGCAGCGAAAGCGGAAGAAAAACGCGGCGGCAAGGCTGATCGCTCTCGGAGCATTGTTTTGCCGCCGGCCGAGGCTCGCCGCTTTGCCGCATCCAATCAGAACGCCACGCAGCGGAGGCGCGGTGGTGGCGCGGGTGTACGTTTGGTGGAAGCACTGACACGTCATAGCACGTGCACAAAATCACACGATACCCGCGTCGTCTGCCGCGCGGCCAGACGAAGGATGCATGCAGTCTGAACAGGTTCACACACTTGCCGCCTCGCCGCTTCGGAAATCCCGCTTCGCCGCTTTGCCGCACCACCTTCGGTGTGAATGAGGCTTTAGTGCGCCTCCGAGTTTCTATTTACCACAAACAGAGCAGAAATGTTCCAAAGCACTGTAACTCTTTCCAAAGCTCTTTACAAACGAACTCTTTGGCCAATAATGTTTGCCTACACAAGAACGCCGTGAAAAGTATTTGTGGATTAGGCACGTAAAAATGTGTTTTTTTTTTGTTTGTGTTCTCTTTTCTTGCCTTGCTCCTGTTAAGACCATTCTTTTCTCAACCAGGCGCCTTCACATACGCCAGCAGAATTGTGTTTTTGGTAGAAGAGCTGTGTCTCCGCCAGAGCCAATTGTATATAAGAAGCGTGGTAGAATGTAACAGCATATTTAGAGATTAATAAGAGAATGGTTTTTGGTGTCATCGACGGTACACATGTTTAAAGTCCCTCCAAGTACTTACAATACCATATGAAAGTAGTGCGAACGCAAATGAATAATTTGCATAGCTCAAACTTCACTCCGACGACTCTTCAAACTCATTGGTGTACTTCTTGACGTCTTGAGTGTCTAATGAGATTACCAATGTAGTTCATGTGTATTTCTTTGTACTAATAACCTGTGGTTGACTAAGTGGGTATAAATAAATAAAATGTGATTATATTGCCTACATACTTTTTTCTACAACTTAACCTCATAAACCATGAGGCGCTTCACCTACGAATACTTCTTTCTCACTTGCTTCGTCATCGGTCGTGTTTGAAGCATGGGCTCTTAACTTTTCGAACTTCCAAGCTACTTCTCAGTAGCCTTCGTACACCACGATCTCGCACTGTATTGCAGTTTGTCCACAACTGACTTTCACCCAAGTTGTTCCTTTTGACTCCAAGGTAGCAGATACTGCACACCTATTTAGTTCCTTAGCCGTCCCTGCTTGGCACAAGCGCTTTGAAGTCCGTCAACTTCGAAGGTACTACTTCGCTGTGGCGCGCCCTCTGCGTCCTGTTGGCTTTGCTCGCCAGATACGTGTTCCACACGATAGCCACGCAACTGCCGAACACCTGCCGATAGTTGAAGGGCACGAATCTAAAGTTGACGAACTGCGCCACGGGCCAGATCATGTACATGGTCCGCAGGATCTGGAGATAGTTGGCGCGCAGAGACTGGTCGATCTCGTCCCAGGATCGCCTCTGAAGCGTGCCCAGAACCACCATGAAGCTGGGCACAAAGAGTGGGCCGAAGAGAGTTTGGTCTAGAAGCACTTTCTTGAAGACCACAGCGCCACCGGAGCCGCTGCCGACGACCCGCTCGAGGATGAGGTACCAGCCACGGACGACGGGCCCGACAAAGCCGACTCCCATGACGAAGAACCTGCGCAATGGAATATTGTGCACTAAGGTGTTGAGTAGCGTCTAGCTAACCAACTGCTTTTTACCTTATCTCGTCACACGCGGCTGTCACATTAAAGGGGCCATGACAGGGACGCCGAATATTTGGGGTTCACGTAGCACTACGTAGGACCAATGTTTTCTGGGTTGATTTTGACATTTTGTCTTGTAAAAACATCAGCACAACTCAGAGAAACGAAAAAAAAATCACTTGACGTAAGCACAAATACGCATAAATTAGCCAAACAAATTTGAAGTGCGTAGCTTCAACATATTTTGGTAATTCATCGACCAAGTCGGAAAAAAACAGTAGACTAGGTAAGTGTGAACCTCCACCTCTTCGTCATTATTAATTTATAGTGTTTAGAAAAAAAGATTTCCGGCAAAACCAATGGCAGATCTCTTCTCTCCACTCATCAGGAAGCGATATATAAAATTTTGAGATACGTTTAACAGGTTGACCAGCCTAGCTGTGTTCGATCTCACGTGGAATCACCCTAAAGTTATCTACAATTCAAACTTTTCGAGTAACACCATCCAATGAAATGTATGCGCTGAGTGGTTTAAGCACGCACTCGGGACAAGATATTACTATTGCGTACAACTCTTAAAAGCGAAGCTTAAGGATCTCCCAATTATTTTTTTGTTTTTTGTGTCCATTTTGCGCTGACCGTCAAAAGTATGTTCCGATAGACGAGTTGCACGAACGCCAGCAACACTGTAAAAAGCCCCGAATAGTCCAAGCAACCTTGGGCTAACCCGTCACTGTGCATGAAAACAAATAAAAAAAAGCACGCAAAAACGCGGCGTTCGTGTGAGTCAAAAGAAGTATGAACGTGAGACAGATGGCTCATTTAGATGTGAACACTTCATGTGATTCAGGTGGCATGCCTATAGCAGCCGAACACACGGGACTGCTCATGCGCAATGGCGACCATTGGCTGTTTCCTGTATATGCACTACAACAAATTTGTGTTACAACTCGTCTATTAGCCTTATTTGCTACATTACTAGAAGTTAAGAGTTTAATACGCTTAAAAATATGCGTAAACATTAGATGACCCAAAAGCTTCGCCTTTAGGAGTTGAACGCGATAGCGACATTCTGTTCCTAGTGCGCACTTCATACACTTAGTGCACGAAATCATTTCGAACTTCTTATGCACCCACTACGTGGCCTTAAGGGAATATAGGCGCAGTAGCGTGTGTGCCTTTTGTAGTGTGGTACCGGCTTTCAACCATGGAGCCCGTGAGAAACGAATAAGGGGACCAGGACCCGATCGTCTGGCTGCGTTGAAGGTCAAGGAATCAACTGAGCGATTATGATGATGATGATGATGATGATGATCCTTGTTACTCTGGCGCACACCCACAAAGGGGGATCGGCCAAGAACCGGGCGGCAGGATCTTAAGTAAAAGGCTTATGGTTTTTCAAACACAAAGTAATTTTGTACTAAAAAATTATATAGAAAGAAAAGCCAAAAATTGAAAAAGGAGTATACCTGAACAGAGATGGGTGCAGGCTATCAGATGCGATTTGAGACAGAGGTAATGGTGGGTCTAAAAACAAAAGATATATATATATATATATATATATATATATATATATATATATAGAGAGAGAGAGAGAGAGAGAGAGAGAGAGAGAGTGGGAGTAATAATTCAATGGACCAGTTAGTCTTCGTGAAGGTATGGGATATGGCACAACGGGAGCGTTGTCAACAAGGATATATATATATATATATATATATATATATATATATATATATATATATATGAGCGAGCAGCGACCCTGGCTCGTGCTCGTGCCCGCTGCGTCTTTTTTCTCTTTTATTTGTAACAGAGCCAATAGGATAACCACATGTTCTGATGCCGGTAATGGACGCTTGCAACAGTACTGCACAGCAGTACTTCATGTTGCATTGTGAAGAATGTATGCAGGGCGCGTGTGTTTGAGAAGCATGACAGCTACTTTCACTGCATTTCCAAGCAGAGGAAGTTCTTTTCATCGTTTTCACAAGCAGAGGCTTGGCAGTGTGGTCATTCTGCTTCTGGACGCCGGTTGGTGCAGACGCAGGATGGAATGCTCATCCCGAGCAGCGACAGCGGCCAACGCCGGCCGCGGTACAGCGTCTCCCCTCGTTCCAAAGGACTACAGGATTATTCTGCCTTCGTTGCCATCAGGTGAAGCGATGCGTCGAGCAGTAGCTTTACACTGCGACGTCAGTGGCCGACCGTATCGCATCGACGACTTCAGGAAACCTCTCAAAGATTTAGGCGTCATACAGCAAGTAAGTGGCATCGGAGCATATCAGATGTCGCACGTGTGGCTATTGAACATGAAGACCGCGGAAGCAAAGAAAGCGCTGACAGACGCAGGCGTTCTCAAAGTTAAAGACCGGGTATGTCTCGTCATTGACCCGACGCGGCAAGAGGTTAAAATGAAATTGCACTGGCTAACGTTCGATGTTACAAAAGACGCTATTCAACGTGCCCTCTATGAATACGGCGACGTCAAGGAGGTGACCGATGACCGATGGAGAGTCGAGGATGTTGAAGGAGTTGAATCGACCACTCATGTAATACGCAACTACGAGATGGCGTTTCTGTGGTTCAACTGCCCCATCAGGTGCGTATTGGCAGCAGTACGGTACTGGTCATGGTGCCGAGAAGACCGCCTTTGTGCTTGCGGTGCCGAAGCACGGGGCATATGCGACGCGATTGTAAGGTCCCAAGGTGCAGCGAATGCCACTCTTTCGGTCATGAGCAGGACGAGTGCAACCGTTCATACGCACGAGCTGCAGGGCGACGACCAGAGACTCAACAGAGTGAACTTCTCATGGATGAGGAGGAATCTGAACAAGCGTCTTTGCCTGCGACACCACAGAAGCAGACGACATCGGACGACACGCCGGTGCTGAAGAAAAGCAAGCAAGTTTCTTCAGCCCTGTACACGAACGCTGGGCCGAAGATGGGAAGTCAAGCGGCCCCAACGACTAGCGAACAGACGCGTCCTGCGCCTGCGATGCACGCCGCGTCGCAGCTGCAAGCAACGCGCCCTGAAACGCCGGCGTCCCAGGCCAACGCTGCTTCGACTCCTCTAAACTCGGCTTCACAGCACTCTTTGGCGAATGAAACACACGAAAATGAGGATTTGCCTAGTGACCTGGATACCTTAAGCATGGAATTAGAATCGGCGTCTGCAAAACGCCGTCGCGATTCAGACGACGGTGCTCAAGTAGACGAAACGCAAGTAAAGTCGGAAGTGCAGTGGAAGGTGGTCAGTGGAGGCAAGAAACGAAACACTGCCCGACAACGGTCGTCGTCGCTCAAACGCGACGATAACCGCTCAAACTAAAGGTGAACAACATGGATCCAATCTGGAGGACGAGAGCCCAATAAGTGAACGTGCAGGGCTCTCAGCTTGGACCCGCTCACCGATCACGTCGCTGAGCGGGTTCGTGAAAGCAGCGACGCTCAATGTACGAGGACTGGCTTCCAGAAAGAAACAGACTCAGCTCTACAGACTAGCCATGGACCAAGACCTGGACATTATTGCAGTTCAGGAAACCAAAGTGGAGAGCGTAGACGCCACCGAGAGCCTACTGCAACGTTTCACCGGACGCTACACCGCCAGCGTCAGTCATGCAGTTGGTAGGTCGGCAGGGTGTGCGATCTTTGTGCGGAATAGTTTAGGTGCCAGTGTTCAAAACGTGACGTCTGACTCATCCGGAAGGTTTGTTGTATGTGATTTGACCTTCTTTTCTCTTAATAGGCGAGTGATTTGTTTATATGCACCTCTTAAAGTTGATGAACGGTGTGTAACATTCGACGAAATTCGTACTTATTGTGAATGCGATCGCATAGTCATCCTTATGAAAGATTTTAATTGTGTGATCAGTGCCGATGATAAAACAAGTACATCCATTTTCAACGACTCAAGCACAGTCACGTTAACGAATTTAATTTCTGACTTAGACCTTGAGGATGTTGCAGAGTGTATTGGTAAAGGACCAACACTGTATACGCATTTCCAAGGCTCCAGTCATGCGAGCCTAGATAGGGCCTACGTGTCACTGGATTTAATTCCGATTATCAGTGAGTACAATGTCCTCCCTATTTCATTTAGTGATCATTGCTTAGTATCATTTAGTATCATTTGTAATAGGTAAAAGAAATTGACGTAGACCAGTATTTAACTGGGACACGTGGAAGCTGAATTCTAATCTCTTGGAAGACGAAAAATTTATGGACAGTGTTCGAGAGGCGTTGGTAAACAGATAGTGGAGACCAAAAATACGGAGTGAAATGGGAACAATTTAAACAGAATATAAAGTTGATAGCTATAGAACGCTCATGTGTAATAAAACACGGAAAGAGTGAAGAAGAAAGAACCCTACGCTTAAATCTCAAAGAACTGCTAGCAGAGGACAGCAAAACGCCAGGCTTATTCACAAATGATATAAGGTCAGTAAAGTCCAAATTGGAACAAATTGATGAGGAGAAGTATCGTGGCGCGCAAATAAGGGCAAGGGCAGAGAAAATGACCGTAGGAGAGAAACCGACCAAAAGAATGCTTGGTCTCGAAAAACGAAACGCTCAGCGGAATGTTATACATCAGATTGAATACATGGGTAACGTTACAAGTGAACAAAGATATATAAAGGATGCTTTCAACGAGTACTACACGACTTTATTTGATAAATGTAAAGTAAATGTAGATGAATTCAAGAATGAATTTTTAAAATTAATGCCAAAGGTTGAGTACTGCAGGAAAGACAGCCTAGAATGTCCTATTTCTGAACCGGAAGTGACAAAAGCAATCATTGCCCTCCATTTGGGAAAGTCCCCAGGACCTGATGGCTTAACAGCCGCATTTTATAAGGAATTCAAACACGAACTAGCACCGATCCTGGCAGCGGTTTTTAACGAAGCCTTAGACATAAAGACTCTGCCACCTTCTTTTCTGCTATCTATTTTTCTG